CTCTTCCCAGGGTTTTTTAAAGACAGACATAAGACACCAAGTCGATTTCTGACCATGGTGCGGTTGGAAATAGTAACTGTCCCAACCATAATGATCACTGACCATTGAGCCATATTTAAAGGGAAAGCCCACCTGGTGCCGTCTAAATGTCTCGATTTCTTATAGGACAATTGCCAACCCCACAGCTGAAAGATCAGTGCTTTGGGATTCTGCCCACCCCTTCCAAAACGTTTTGCTCTATGATAGGGGTTAGTAGACCTTTTCCATAAAAGGTCAGACGATAAGTACTTCAGGCTTTGTGAAATACTTGTAACTAACTACTCAGCTCCAACGTCTTAGCATGAAAGCAGCCACAGGGGACAGGTAAGTGACGGAGTGGGGCTGTGTCCCTAGAAAACAATTTATGCATGCTGAAATATAAATTTCATCTAATTTCCACATATCATGAAATACTGTGTTTGGATTTCTTTTTTGTAACCTTTCTTACAGCTCAGGGGACATACAAGGCTGGTCCTAGTTTGCCACTCTCGTTGAGTGTCTGAAACAAACACACGTTTTTATAAAATGGCATTTCCTGAGGTCCCAATGCCATGCATGGCAGCTGGACAAGTTGTCAGTCTAGAGGTAGGACTGTGAATTGATTCTTAACTTTTTTGAACCCCATAAATCTTAGCATAGTGTCTGACATGAGGAAACCTTTCATATACAGCCACCTCTCTGTACCTGTGGGGGACCAGCTCCAGGATCCCTCCCACCCCCAGGACACCCGAATCCTTGGATACTCAAGTCCCTTATATAAAATGGTATGTCAGCATATAACCTAGGGAGCCCCCCCCCGCAGGCTCTCATCCTCTCTACGCACTTACAGTCCTGAACACAACGCAAACGCTGGGTGAAGAGCTGCTGGGTGGCATTGCTTAGGATCTAATGCCAGGGAGAGTGGCTGTACATCAGATGCGAATTAAAAAATATCTCCCATTTGGTTGGTGGAACCCATGAAGGATGCAGAGCCCCAGGAAGGAGAGGCCCACTGTAAATGTTTGCTGAATTAAATGGAATGAGTGTCCAAGCAGAGGCCATCACAGAGGGGGATGACCCAAATCTGCCATTGCCAGGGGGGTGGGACCTGTCCCTGTCCCCTGGGCTTGGCATTCCATCCTGTCTCTCCCAGGGATGTTGAGGGCAGGTGGGCACCAGGCCTTGAGACGCAGCCCCGGGGCCTTACCACCGTCTGGAAGCAGGAGTGCAGCTGTGTTAGGAACGGGGGCTTGTCAAGCAGGGCCAGGACCCGCTTCTCCACCATGGTGCACTCCACGTCGTCGTCCTGAATCACCACATCCTTCTTCAGGATTTTGATGGCATACAGTTCTTCTGTTCCCTTCCGGTCAGCAAGCATCACCTGGGAACAGACCCAGAGCAACCTGAACACGGGAAGAACTGGGCCAGCTGCAAGTCTGAACCGTGGGATAGGAAACTGCTTAGCTAATTTTTGCTACATGTTGCAGTGTCCCTTGAAGGTCCTGTGTAAAGGCTTTTGGTCCCCAGGGTGATGCTTTTGGGAAGTGGTGGAACCTTCAGGAAGGTGGGGCTCATGTGGAAGTCCTTGGTTTTTTGGGGGAATGTCATGTCCTTGAAGGGATCTGTGAGATTCCAGTTTCTTCGTTTTTTTTTTTTTTTCTCTCTTAGTTTCCTGGCTGACAAGGCAAGGAGACTGCCCCACCATGAAGTG